TTTCTTTCTTTCTTTCTTTCTTTCTTTCTTTCTTTCTTTCTTTCCTTCTTTCTTTCTTTCTTTCTTTCTTTCTTCCCTTCTTTCTTTCTTCCCAGTGTTTAGCACAGTGCCTTGCAAATAGTAGATGCTTAATAAGTGTTTATGAACTGACTGACTGACTTTTTAAATGCTGGATCCCAGACAAACTTTTTCCCAATCTCCTTCTCCCTCTCCAGCTTGAATACATTTGTGCATACTCTTGTCCATACCTGGAATGGACTTCCTTTACATCTCCACCTATTGAGATCCTCTTTGACTTTCAAGGCCCAGATGGGGCCCACCTAATACCCAGCTAGAAGGGTCCTCTGCCTTTCTGATCTCCCATGCCCCTCTGTTTGACCTCTCTTATATGCTGATCACACTCTAACATACTATATATGTAGTAGAGGCCATCCATCCCTTGGTGTATGGGTTGACTCCTTTGGCCACTTTAGGGATCACAGCCATGGGCATTCATCCCCGGAGGACTTGGTGCTATGGAATAACAACCCAGTGGACCCTTGGTCCTATTAAGGAAGCAGGAGAAGTGGGATGTGTCAGAAGAGGTGGAAGAATCACCCTGTCAGTGAACTTTAAAGGATGAGATGACTTCTACTCTCTCTAGTAATTGAAATAACTAGCATTTAAATAGTACTTTAGCAAAGTGCTTTACAAATATTATTATCTTTGATCCTCACAACAACCCTGAGACATAGGTTCTATTTCTGCATTTTACAAATAATAATAATAACAATAGCTAACATTTAAATAGTACTTACTATGTGTACTTACTTACACTGTGCTAAGCGCTTTATAATAATAATCATAATAATAACAACTAAGTAACATTTATATAGGGCTTACTATGTGCCAGGCACTGTGCTAAGTGCTTTATAATAATAATAATAATAATAACAACAACAACAATAACAATAGCTAACATTTATATATGGCTTACTATGTGCCAACTATGCTAAGTGCTTTATAACAACAACAACCTAACATTTATATAGGGTTTACTTTGTGCCAGGCACTGTGCTAAAGTGCTTAATGACAATAATAGTAGCTAACATTTATATAGCTCTTACTATATGCCAGGCACTGTGCTAAGTGCTTAATAACAATAACAATAGGGGCAACTAGGTAGCGCAGTGGATAGAGCACCGGCCCTGAAGTCAGGAGGACCTGAGTTCAAATCCGTCCTCAAACCAAACACTTGACACTTACTATGTGTGTGACCCTGGGCAAGTCACTTAACCCCAATTGCAAAACAAATAAATAAATAACAATAACAATAAGAAAGCTAACATTCATATAGTACTTACTATGTTGCAGGCACTGGTGCTAGATGTTTAATAATAACAATAATAATAATAACTAACATTTACATAGTACTCATGTGCCTGGCACTGGGCTAAGTGCTTTACAATTATGATCTCATTTGATCCTCACACAACCCTTGGAGGTAGGCATTATTATCCTCATTTTACAGATGAGGAAACTGAGGCAAACAGAGGTTAAGTGACTCACCCAGGGTCACATAGTTAGTATGTGTCTAAGATTGGATTTGAACTGAGGTCTTCTTGACTCTAGGCCCAGCGCTCTGTGCTCTATGGTGCCACCTAGCGTGAGCATGTGTGATAAAGGGCTTATACTCTCGGATTTCCCATTAGGTTCTGAGAGGACATTCTCTCTCCAGGCATTGATCAGTTGTTCCCAACACACCGTGCTCATGAAAGCCTGAGTCTGGATCTTGAGTCCTTGGCTGCCTTTTCTGCCGTGCGTTTCTTTCCAGGAGCCCAAGTAACTGAACGAGTGAGTGAGGTTGGGAGTTCTCGGGACCCTCAGCTCCACCTGCAGGAAGCAGCTGCAATACTCCACTCTTCTTGGAGAAGAAAAGCATGAAATGATGGGGAGCCCAAACTTTGTCCTGGCCAGCCAAAAGACGGGGACTTTGGGAGGAGTGGGCAGAGAGTGCAGAGCCAAGGAGAGCAATAAAAATGCCTAGTCAATAGTCCCATTAAGTGTTTCATGTTTTAATGTTCTAAGTGTCAATATCTGGGGGGAATGTAATAGGAGTCATAGTTTCCTTTTCAGGTTTTTTGGTGTGTCTGTTTGTTTTTGAGACTGGGTCTTCCTAACTTTCGACCAAACTGGAAGTGCAGTGGCCACTCAAGAGGGCCCCTCCCAATATTGATCAGCAGGGAAGCTTTAACCTGCTCCATTTTTCTGACTTGGGTGGTTTGGCTTTGGTCCTATTGCAGTCAGAACTTCTGGACTCAGGTGATTTACCAGCCTCAGTCTCCCCAAATGGAGGTGCGTATGGCAACACACCAAACTACTAGTTGTTTTAGGTTTCTTATTGTTGTTGTTGATGTTGAGTCATTTCAATCACATCTGATTCCATAACCACATTTGGGGTTTTCTTGGCGGAGACACTAGAGTGGTTTGGCATTTCTTTCTCCAGCTCATTTTACAGATGAGGAAACTGAGGCAAACAGGGTGAAATGACTTGCCTAGGATCACACAGCTAGTAAGTGTCTGAGGACAGATTTGAACTCAGGAAGAAGAGTCTTCCTGACTCCAGGCCTGGCACTTTCTCCACTGCGTCACCTCGCTGCCCATAAGTTACTTTATTAGCCTTTGGATTTTAAGCATTTCTTTTGTGTGAAGGAAATAAATAGCTACCCTATACCTGATCTAAGTTGTACCTTGAGTCCCTTTCTATTCCCTTTTAAAGAGACTTCAAACCTGTCATATCTCATACCTCGGCTTTAAGTGATTTTTCCCTGGGACCCAAAGGTAGGGGTGAAAGTATAAGAAAAGAGCCCCACCTCTGTTTTTAGAGACCAGGCTCCCCTAGGACTAAGCCTTGAGATACTTGCATGAACCTGGAATTAGGGGTCCCTTAGTGGGAGTAGGCGAGTACCCCTGCCCTCCTGGGCGAAGCGTGGCTCTGTGGTTACATATATTATCATTGCTTGCTTCCAGGCCAGTCTCTCCACCCTCAGATTGTAAGCTTCTTGAATACTTTGCTTTTTTTTTCACCTCAGTAGCCCAAGAACAGTCCTGTGCACATAAAGATACTTAAAAAATACTTGTCAGGGCAGCTAGGTGGCGCAGTGGATAGAGCACCGGCCCTAAAGTCAGGAGGACCTGAGTTCAAATCCGACCTCAGACCAAACACTTGACTTTTACTAGCTGTGTGACCCTGGGCAAGTCACTTAACCCCAATTGCCTAAAAAAAAGAAAAATACTTGTCCAATTGAATGGAAAATACCTGTGGGGCAGCATGCTAGATTAGCTTTTGGATTTTAATCATTTCTTTTTTGTGGAGGAAATAAATAGCTGCTCTATGCCCAATCTAAGTTGTACCTCGAGTACTTTCCTACTCCCTTTTGAAGAGACTTAGATCTGTGTCATGCCTCAGCTTTAAGTGACACCGAGAAGAAATCTGGGTTAGAGACCTGCCTCCAATACCATGTGACAGGTAAGGCATTTTCTGAGTCTCCTACTGTCTGTGTGACCTTGAGAAACTTAAATAACCTCTCTGAGCCTCACTTTCCCTCACCTGCCTAATAGAGTTATTGCACAGGAACTGCTTTATAAACCTAAAAGCAGCATAGAAATTTGAGTCATTGTCTACAAATGGTAGCGGTTGTTTCTACCCCGAAGTTTTTCCACGTCTACACTAGGGGGCACCAGTGACTGAGTGCTGGACATTCAGAAGCCTTTTCCGCAGGGATGGGATGGAAATGCTATGAATGGCCAGCAGGCGGCAGGGCTAACCCAGGACCCAGGTGAGGCGGCAGCCCTGACTTAGAAGACAGCATGGGGAGGGGAACCCTCAAATCTCTGATCTTAAATAATAGAAAGGTCAGAACACTCAGCCCTTAAGTCTCCAGGTGACAAGGATGGGCCGAGTCTTATATCAGGGCAGGCTATCGGTAGAGTGTAGAAGGTGCTGCGTCCCAAGTCAGAGAGCCGGGATTTGAATCTCAGATCTCTGCAGGACCCTGGGAAGTCCCTTGGTGCCTCCGGGCACCGGTGAGGTCCCGGGCAGCTCTAAATCTGTGATCCCGGGATGAGAGGAGGCTGGATATTGGAAAGACTTCCTGATAAAGGGTGGGAGATTGGGAAATGCTTTCACTAAGGGATATGGGGTCTTCTTTCCTAGGGATGCTTAAGAGGAGGAGGCTCTTCCTGGTGTTTCTTTTCCCCACGGTGGATACCGTCCTGCCTCACTCTCCATCCCTCCCACTCTCCCACCTCCCCATGCAATGGTGCAAGAGGACATATGAATATAGACTTTAATCATTGTGCTGCTGCTATTAACCGGAAGTGCAATTAACCCATCCAAGGCGGATTTGGATGGCACAGTGTCAGCAGGAAGCCCCATCCCTGCCCCCGGGCACGGGTCCTAGGAGAAGAGTGACAAGAACACCAGGCCTCTGGGGAAAGGGCAGAAAGGGAGCAGGAAAGATGCGAGGAGCCCACATCCTGGGTCAGGGTTCACCTCCTGCTCAGAACAACTCCAAAGGGAAAGAGGCCATTCTGGGAGGTTTGATAACTCCAGAGCCCTATCAGCATTGCTGTGCCCCCTTCCCTCCTCGTGCAGTTGCTTCTCTGTCCAAGTTCAGGTCTCTCCTGGAAGCCGGGGTGGAGGGAGGTCGCCATTTGCCTGGTGTTCAGAGGAGGGGAGGAACTCTGTTTTTCCCCTCTTGTCTCCATTCCCAAACCGGGCCCCAGGAAGCCAGATTGTCCTTATGATCCTAATTCACTGAGATCAATGAGAAAAGGGTAGCATTTTAGTTTCCAATTTTCCTTTAGTACAGGACTTCTTGTTCACTGTAACAGGATGTTGGAGGTCAGTACCACTGATGGGTAGGAAATCCCCACCATTCTACTCCAAGATGCTCTCTGGAGAACTGCCCTAACCCAATGAATATCTGAGGCCAAACTCTGACTCCCAAGCAGCCCTCCAAACCTGAGGGAAAGCAAGGGCTAAAGTCCAGCCTATGGACACAGGTCTGAATGTGCCTAATGGGGAGAGGCGGCATGGCATCAGGCAGGAGGAGATAGAGGGACCGAAGGGAGAGGGCCAGCCATGCCAGGCTACAGAGCAGAGACCATCTTGGAGGAAAACCATGCACAGAGACATGAAGAAGTGTTTCTGGATTTGCTTAAAACCATTCAGACTACTCCAAGGATTCCTCATGCCCTTCCTCAATATCAGCCAGAAACTTGATGGTCAGGTCTGAAGATATAGAGATGCCTATTGGACCAATGTCTTTGACTTCAATCCTGTGTGCAGAATGAGGGGTGGGGGGGGACACTGTCTGGGGTTGAAATGCCACATGCACTAAATGACCCAAGGATAGAATCACTCAGCCTGATGTCCCCTTCTCTTCAGCTTGACGTGGACAGCTCCTCTGAGCATCTCTGGACCTGTCCGGGGAGGGACCTCTCATCTCCAAGCTGATGCTCCAATCTCAGCTTGGGAAGGAGCTTGGGCTTGGAGACCTTACTTTTCCTATCTTACACTAACCTATCTCTAATCTCTCCACCATTCCTGAATTCTGACTCTACTTTCCTCTTACCCTTCATTGGGCAAGCATCCATCAAACACAGCTGGGTCAGCTATTCCAAGGGGAACCAGCTTCATGCAGATGTGTTTCTTTTTTGATACTGATACCTTGGCATCGAGGAAGTTGCTGATGTAGGTAAAACCAGCAGGGAGAGGTGTTTCCTGTTTCTTTGCTCAGGATCTGGCTATCCAGTGACCCCATTTTCTTGGTAGGTCTCACTGCTGCTGCTATTGCCAGCTCCAGTTTGAGGCTAGGAAGTACCTAGACTTTTGTGCAAACCCCTTTCAAAAACTGGCCAGTATCCCCTCAACTGTGCTTATTATGATCCTATTGTAGGCTGAGGGGACATGATTGGGGTGAGGAGAGGAGTAGCCAAAGACCCAAGGCCACACAGGTGACTGGGGTTTATTTCAAGGAGAGGGGATGAGTTCCACCCTTGAGGCTTGGACCCTCAGTCAGCTGCCTCTGCCCAAAGGGACCCAGGAACTATGGCTACAGCCCGAGGAATCACCAGCCTCAACGTCAGCACTTTGAACAGTTTCAGCAAATCCAGCATCCTCTCTGTGACTCTGGCTCCTGGCTTGATATAGACAGCCCCTGTTCTGTAGCCTGTCAGAGCTGGTCTCTTCAGGCTCTGCTAGTCCCCAGCACTGCCGCTGGAGGAGATTCCTCCGTCTCCTCCATACTTGCCTTCATCGTCTGGCATGACCGCCCCTCGCCCCTGCCTGGGCGTGAGGCTGTAGCTTTCTCTCTTTCCCCGTTTGTCAGACAAATTCTGGTCCTAGTCCATCACTGAGTTAGGGCAGTCTCCCAAATTACTGAGGGGCCAAATTCACTACTCACCAGCACTCATTGACCTCCAACGGCCTATTACATCAGGCTGTGAGAAGACATTGAACTCTGTCTCCAGCTGTAAGGGCAGATGATAGGAAAGTATAGGCTGGCATGGGGAGGGGGGGTGTCCGTCTACCTTTCAATAGCTGGAGATCAGGGTGGGACTTTCCCTGCTTGAGACCGGTTGGACATGTGTCCAGTGACTTATCTTCACACTCTTGGGAGATAGGGCTGGGTGGGGGTGGGTGGATTTCAGGAGTGTGAGCCCCTGGAGATCTTGCCCACTTTTCACATACTGAAGTCAGCTTTGATGAAATCATTTAACCCTGCCGAGAAACAACGAATCTCCGAGGAATGGGATTCTCGAGGCTAGGAGTCTGAGACACACAGGGCTTCCACAGCATCGCTCAATCCCTGATTGACGCCTCCCACTGCGAGGAGGCAGCCTTTGATGACGATGCTGGAGCAGGCACAGCGGGGAGTGGGCATGGGAGGCAGGCTCTCCCATTTGTTCTTCCCTGGGTGGAAGGCCTCTGCTGTCTCCAGGACTGTGGGCTGGTTCCCTGAAAATGCAGATAAAAGGCATGGGTGCTAAGCCTTTTAGAACAGACCCCAGCTTAGTTTCATAACCCGCTCCCTTAATGGGCTAACTGACTTCATCATCTTTGACTACAGAGGGTGTTGTGCCCAGCATGCTGGCACGCTGCAGCAGCTAAACCTAACTCCCAGAGTCCTGAGTTCAAGTTTTACCTTGGCCACTACAAATTAGCTGTATGACCTCAGGTAAGTTAGTATCAATTTCCTTCTGTAAAATGAGGGTAAGAATGCTCATGCTGCCCATCACCAATGGCTGTTTTATGAACGTTAAAGCACTAAATAAATGTAAGTTATAAATAATAATGGACATTCACCCATGTCAAGCAGGTGAATAGTTGTTGTATGGCATAGTGGTGAAGGGAACATTTATTAAATACCTACTATGTTGCAATGGCGCCATAGTGCACAGAAAGCTGGGCCTGGAGTCAGAGAGACTCCTCTTCCTGAGTTCAAATCTGCCCTCAAACACTTACTAGCTGTGTGACCTTGGGCAAGTCACTTTACCCTGCTTTGTAGCATTTGTTAATTTCCAATGTCTTTTTTTTTTTTTTTTGGCAAGGCAATTGGGGTTAAGTGACTTGCTCAGGGTCACACAGCTAGTGTCTAGTGTCTAGTCTGAGACCATATTTGAACTCAGGTCCTCCTGACTCCAGGGCTGGTGCTCTATCCACTGCGCCACCTAGCTGCCTCAATTTCCAATGTCTCAACCTTCACACCGAAAATTTAACAATCCACCTGGCCCAGACCATTAGGAGTCAGATCCAGCACACACTGCTGCCTCTTACTCTCCCTACGCCTCCATTTCCTCCTCTAAAAAAGGGGCAGGCTCAGCCTTCTGGTCCCCAGGAATTCCCTACTGATGCTGCTGATGGATGAAGTTCTAATTAGAATGTTAGTCCTGGGATTTAGAGCCAGAAGGGCCCTTAAGGAATCATCCGGTCCAGTCCTCTCATCTTAAAGATGGGGAAACTGAGCCCCAGAGAGAGGGGTAACTTGTCCAGTGTCACGGCAGGGGAAACGTTTGCTCCATTTTCCGCATTTGTATTCCTAGTCCTCAGCACAGTCCCTGGCTTGCGTCGGTCACTTAAATGCACGTTGATTTATCGCTGAGTAGCACAGCTGGGATTTGAAGTAGAACCATCCCTCGCCTCCAAATCCAGCGTTCTTTCTGCTGTAGTGGGTGTTTTGTGATCTTTGGGGGGAGCGACAGTGCTGACTTCAATTGCTGCCACGGATCCCGTGGTGTCCCCCAAACCCCCCCAGCACTGCCGGAGTGCTCTGACTCTTACCCAGGCCTCCAGCCACTATGACTCGCCCTCTTAAGCAGCCTGATACAAAGTCAGCTCTGCGCTTCTTCAGGAACGAAGACCGCTCTATCTTCATCCAACCTCCTAGAGGCCAAGAAAGGAGGAGAAAAGATGTTGATCACAACCACTTAATGCAGCTCTGGGACAGGATCTGATCTCTGGCAAGGGAACAAGTGCGCATATGTCCAGTCACACCTTGCATACATCAGCATTGAATGTCTCCCTGGGGCAGCTAGGTGGACATTCATCCTCCCGAGTTCAAATCTGGCCTCAGATACTTACTAGCTGTGTCATTTAACTCTGTTTGCCTCAGTTTTCTCATCTGTAAAATGACCTGGAAAAGAAAATGGTAAAAGACTCTAGGCTCTTTGCCAAGAAAACCGCACAATGGGCCATGAAGAGTCAGATGTGACTGAAATGACTCAACAACAAAATGTATCCTCTGCAGGTCAACAGAATTCATGGGATCAGAAGATTATAGATTTAGAGCCAGAAAGGGCCATCTAGGCCAGCAGTTTTCACACTTTTTTCGTTAAAAATCGATTGAGGACCCCAAAGAGCTTCTATTTGTGTGGGTTATATCTACTGATATTTAACATATTGGAAATTAGTGTTAATAAAATTTTTAAATACTTATTTATTCATTAAAAATAACTATAATAGACCCATTTCATGTTGATATAAAAACATATGTTTATGAAAAACAAATACATTTTCCAAAACAAAAATAAAATTTAGTGAGGAGAGCGGCATTATTTTTATAAATTTTTTGCAAATCTCTTTAATGCTTGACTTAATAGAAAACAGCTGGATTCTCCTATTGGCTTCTGCATTTGCTCTACTATGATTTGTTGTTTTGGTTGAAGTATATGAAGAAAATCCCTCTTCACACTGATATGTAGAAGAAAGGAAGAATTTAATAGTCAAATAATGTCTTGGTATATTATGAAAATCATTTTGACCCTGTGGACTGTCTGAAAGACTCATGGGGACTCCTGGGGGTCCACAGACCACACTTTGAGAACCACTGGTCTAGCCTAAGTTTCTCATTTTACAAATGAGGAAAGTGAGGCCCACAGAAATGAAGTGACCTCCCCAGGCTTCAGAACCTAGTTCTTCCTGACTCCAAGTGAAGCATGGTACCTGCTGCCCTATACTACTAAAAGGTGGGAACCTTTTCCCTGCCCCCTTGTTCAACCTCCATTGGAGTGAGTGGGAAGTGAGTTTGAACTCATTCTGCTCAGGTCTGCATGACACTCCACAAGGGCCTGTTGTCTGCAGGGGCTTCAACCTCACCCTTACATGTCTAAGGGAGCTATCCCTGAGATTCCCCATGGTTCGTCCCACTCACTAAGTGCACACCCACGGGTAAGGAACTCGACTTCTCTGAGACTCAGTTTCCTTGGCTGCAAAACATAGAAATTGGACTAAATAATCTCTAATGTCCCTTCTAGCTCTACTATTCTGCAGTTCTGTTCCATATTGTTATGTCTCCTTTTTCCACAAAGAGCTTTATCCCATTGTCCCTGAGCTGGAAGATTGCTTCTCCTCGGACCTCAGTTTGCTCATCTGTAAAATGAGGAGTTTGGATTAGACGTAAATAAGATCCTTCCCCATTCTAAGTCCCATGGTCCTGTTAGTTCAAATTTCGGTCTAAAGGGCACTGTTGTCATCTGGTCATTCAGTCATGTCCGACTCTACCTGACCCCATGAACATCGTCTGTGAGGTGTTCTTGGCAAAGATACTGGAGTGGTTTGCCATTTCTTTCTCCAGTGTATCCCCATTTTACAGATGAGGAACTGAGGCAAATGGGATTAAGTGACTTACCCAAGGTCATACAGCTAGTATATGTCTGAGGCTAGATTCGAACACCAGTCTTCCTGATTGCAGGCCCAGTGTTCTATCTAATACATCACCTAGCTGACCCTTAAAGTGTTCCAGACCAGTAGAGAATTTGGATTTTACCTCCAGCTTTGTCTCTAGTTTGCTATGTGCTCTTGATCTAATCATGGCGCCTATCTCAGTTCCTCAGTTTATCCATCTGTCAAACAGGAATACAGAACGCTGGCCCTACCTACCTTGTGCAGGTGCAGGATTATCCTTGGGATGCAATGAGAAAACAGATGGAAATGATCTTTGGGAAAAAATTGTTTTCTAGATAACAGGTATTTATATGTAGGGATGAACATGAATAGCCCTGAACAAGACATAATTATAATAACACCTTATATATGTATATCCATATATATTTCTTTCTTCACAACAGCCTTGTGAAGTAGTTAATGCAATTATAATTATTTTATTTATAGTTCAGTCAATCAGACAAGCAATAGGCAGTTGTGGAGTCGGGGCACCGTGCTAGGCACTGGGGAAACAGAGACGACAATAAACAGTCTTTGCCCCCATGGAGCTTCTGTTTGATTGGCAGTTGAGATAATTAAGGCTTAGGTAACTATGTTAAGTAACTTGCTTAAAATAATACAGCTAGTTAGTATCTGGCTGCTAGCTGGTGCAGAGGATAGAACAGGGCCTGGAGTCAGGGAGATGCATCCTTCCTGAGTTCAAATCTGGCCTCAGAAACTTACTAGCTGTGTGACCCTGGGCAGGTCACTTCACTTTGTCTGCCTCAGTTTTCTCAACTGTAAAATGAGCTGGAGAAGGAAATGGAAAACCATTGCAATATCTCTGCCAAGAAAACCCCAAGTGGGGTGATGAAGAATTGGATGTGACTGAAAAATGACTGAATAACAACAGAAATTAATGTCTGAAGCAAGATTCGAACTTGGGTCTTTTGACTCCAAGTCTGGTACTATACTCACCGCACTGTGCTACCTCTCTGCGCCCTCTGGGCAAAGTTTAGGAACCCAGTCCCCAACTAGAACATGGTGGTTTGCTGGGTAAGTGCCATCTACTGCTGGTTCTGAGCCATCGCTCTGAGCCAGCTTGAGGAAGCTGGCTTAGCTGGTGGTTGAGGCTGGCAAGGGGGCATCAGTAAGGCCATCCAACAGAGGAGCGCACGTCTCAGTCCCGGACCAAGTGTACAGAGCACTGAGCAGCAGACCCTTCCAGCTCCTGGCCTACTAGGTCAGGCCTTAGCCCTGAGGATCATGGAGTTAAACGGGGTCCCAGGCATGACAGGCAGTGGACTCTGGCAAGTTCCCATTCAATTTAGTATCATAGTATCATCACAATGTTAGAGCTCAAAGGGACTTTGTTATCATCGTTCAACCATTTCAGTCGTGTCTGACTCTTGGTGACCAACTCTTCATGACTCTGTTTGGGATTTCTTGGAACAGATACTGCAGTGGTTTGCCATGCCCTCTTCAAGCCCATTTTACAAATGAGGAAACCGAGGCAAACAGGGTGAAGCGACTTGGCCAGGGTTCCCCAGATTGTATGTGTGTGAGGCCTACTCTGAACTCACTCAAGCACAGCACTTTATCTACCCACTGCAACACCTAGCTACTTCTCAAAAGGAGGTCCTCATCTAGTTCAATCCCTTGGTTTTATAGATGAGGAAACTGAGGCCCCGTTAAGTTACTTGACCAAGGTCACACCACAAGCAAACAATAGAGCTAGGATTTCATCCCAGATATTCTAATACCAAATTCAGCATTTTCCATCACATCAGGCTGCTTCCCTTGTGATAACTTGAGTTATCACTAGGGGAAAAAAAAGGCTACATGATCTAAAGATAGGAATTTTCTGGTGTTAAAATATGTACATTTATACAAACTCCTATTAACAAGTGACCTTGCTTGGATCTTCTTGTGTTTTGTGCCCTGGTTCTGGTTCTAAATGGTAGTAAGCTCCCTCTTCAGCCAAGAGTAGCATTCATTCCTTCCATTCATTTGACAGACATTTATTTATTTATTTATTCATTCATTTATTTATTTGTTTATTTGCAATTAGGGTTAAGTGACTTGCCCAAGGTCATATAGCTAGTGTTTGGTCTGAGGCTGGATTCGAACTCAGATCCTCCTGACTTCAGGGCCAGTGCTCTATCCACTGCTCCACGTACCTGCTCTATAGACATTTATTAAGTGCCTACTATGTGCCAAGCATTGTGCTATCTTCTGGGAATATACAGAGGAAGGATGACAGGGGAAGGGTGCATGCATGCTTGAATAAATACAATAAGTAAATATAATTATAAATAAAAAAATAATAACTAGAAGCAAGAATCATCTGGGCAAATGCTCCAGGAAATCTAGGAAAGGAGAGAATGCTTTCAGCTGGGGAATCAGGGAAAGCTTCATGGATGCTGAGTCTTGAAGAAAGAGAAGGATTTCCACAGGCAGAGGTGAGAAGGGAGTGTGTCCCAGGCTTGCATGAATGCACAAAGATGTTCATAGGGCAGAATAAGATCAGAAAACAGGGTGTGAAATGTCTGTAGAAGGTGGATTGGAGTCAGATTGTGAAAGACTTTAAATACTGGACTCAGGGCTCTGTATGTTATCCTATAGGCAATAGGGAGCCAGTGAAGGTTTGAGGGCAGGACAGTAACATGGTCAGACCTGTGCCTTGGGAAGATGACTTTTGTAGCTGTTTGGAGGAGGGATTGGAGAGGGGAGAAACTGGAGGTGGAAGGAATTTGATCAAGAGATGAAGGGTGGTGGCAAACTTTTGAAAAGCTCATGAGGTCTGTATAGGCAAAAGGTCAGATAGGAGGTGCTTGGGTGCAGAAAGACAGCCATCCAAAACTTTCAGTGTCCTGGAAGTGAGAAGTTACGGATTCCCTACCCCTTTCCTGCCCTCTTTTGTGTATGGTCTCTTCCTTTAGATTGTAATTTCCTTGAAATCAGGAACTACCTTCCTTTTCATTAATTGTATCCCCAGCACTTAGCACAGGACTTGGTACATAGTAAGTGCTTAATAAATGTTTGCTGGATTGGTGATGGGAAGAAGAGGGGACTCCATCAGTGGGGGTAGGGTTTGAAAGACTCACCCTGCTCCATGTCAAACACATCCATAGTCCTCATGAACTTGGGTTGTCGATATAGGCGACCTTGCCGCAGGCCCCCCAGGCTATACAGATAGCCATCCATGGGGACAAAACTGGAGAAGGCTCGTTTGCAGGGGATGCTGGGAAACTTGGTCCATGAGCGTGTTTCAATGTCGAAGACCTCAAAGGCATTGACTGCATACTTGGATTGGCGTCCCCCTAAAAGCCAAGGTCAAAGGCCCTCTGAAGGACTCCTTTCTGCCTATTTATCCCACTCTCCCCTCATTCCCTCCCAAAACAAAACCTAAAGGCTCTAGACCAAAGCAGAGTCTTTCCAGTGCTTACCACCCCAGGGAAGGAGATTCCATCTGGGAAAGGTTTCCAGCAGTCACCCTTTCTAGAGAATGTTTCCCACCCAGTTTAGCACCAGGGTGTTATATCAGTGTTCCGAGTTTATCATGACTTTTCTGATGATTCCTTCTTTGTGCTTTCTCCCTTCCTACCTGAGACACTCTTTTCATTTATGGCAACCAATATCCCTCCCTCTCCCTTAAGTATGGTGACCTCCTCCTCCAGGGAACCTAACATGATTGACCCATAACCATTTCTGACATCTCTTCTGCCTCATGCCTTTTTACAGTTTATACACTCAGTCAATTCTAGGATCATAGAAATACTGCAGGTCATATAGTCCACCCCAGCATTTTATAGATGAGGAAACTGGGGCCCAGATAGAAGGAGTTACTTGTTCAAGGTAACACAGGCAGCATAAGGGGGAAAGTCAGGATTCAAATCCTGGTCTTCTAATTCCCAATCTGAGGCATTTTCTATGTTGACCTTCCTTTGTACTTATTTGCAGGTTGCTCTCTAAGTTTTCAGTTATTGTACATGTACCTTGTCTTTCTCTCCCCGCAAATGATATCTCCCCAAAGATAGAGACAATGGTTTGTTGTTTTTTTGTTTGTTTGTTTGTTTGTTTGTTTTTGCCTCACAAAGCTATGACCTTGGGTAAATCGTTTTACTTTTCTGCACACCAGTTTCCTCTTCTGCAAGGAAAAAATATTGATGAGATGATCTCTGAGGTCCCTTTCTGCTCTAATATTTATTAATTATATGACAATGAGCTCCATAAGAGCAAAGACAGTGAGTCCTCCTTCCTCTGGACCTCCGCCCTGCTTCGCAATGCCTGGAAGATGGCTCTGTACACTCCCCAAAGGGGAGAGATGATAAACTGACCCCCAGGAGGGAAAATGGGAGTACATTGAGGGTGCATGTCACTCAGCCTTACCTAGCACGTAGATCTTGGAACCTCGGAGAAAGGAAGTGGCAGCATATCTTGCAGTGGGCATGGGGGCTAATGATACCCACATGTCCTTGAGCATGTCATAGTGCTGTAGGTGGTTGTGGGGGCGAAGATCCAGCCCCATTCCTCCTGCTGCGTAAACTCTGTAATCTAAAGAGATAGACCACAGCCAGGGTCAGTGGGCAACTTGACAGGGCACTTGTCAATATCCACTACCAGTCATGCCTGGAGCCCCATTTAACCCTTGAACACCACAACTGGCACCTGACCTCAGAGGCCAGGAGCTTGAAGGGTTCCTTCCTGCTCAATGCCCTGCACACTTGGTACAGGACTCGGGTCTGTGCCACTCTGGGGGCATAATTAATATCCCCTGCCAGCCTCAACCACCACAGCCAGTTCTGTGAAGCTCCCAGGGCATCTAGCCTAGGGTGGCTTTATGTTTTCTGTAGTCTGGCTTCTCCCTCTCCCCAACCAAGGACAGCCAAAAGGAAAGCCATAAAACTCTCCTTGTGGGGACCAAATAGGAGAATGTCTCCTTTTCTCAGATTAATTTCTATACTCAACAGAGCCCAGGACATATGGAGATTATAAAAAAAGGAAGACAGAATGGCGCCTCACACACAACAGTCCAAATGAGCTATCAGAGGAGAGAATATATGTAAAGATATTTTCTGGGAACAGTGCCTGGCACATAGTAGGTGCTTAATAAATATTTGTTCTCTTCCACTTTCTGCCTGTCCCCCAGCTGCTGTCTCTGTGCTTTTGCACTATGCTGCTCCCTATGCCTGGAACACTCTTCCTCCTCACCTCTGCCTCTTCTTTCAGACCCAACTAAAATCCCACCTTTTGTTGAAGAACTTATCTGTTCTCTCTACCTACTAGAGTCTTCCCCTTCAGGATTCCCTTCCATTTACTCTGTCTGCATCTGGTATGTACTAAATTATTTACATGTTGTTTTCCTCATTGGAATATGAGCTCCTTGAGGGCAGGACTGGTTTTTTTTTGTTGTTGTTGGTTTTTTTTGCCTTTCTTTGTATCCCCAAGGCTTAGCACAATGCCTGGCACTCAGTAGGCACTAAATAAATGCTTGATAGACCATCCACAAAGGGAAAATGTTAAGGATGGGTGGAAGCCTGTAGTAGAAGGGTACTGTTATAGATATTCAATTCTCAATTTATATCAGTATTTCTCTAACAGAAGGTTGGCATTCCCTTTGGGGTCACAGGGTAGTTTGGAGATGGGAAGGAGTGGTAGGAGAAATAACTAGAGAGCTCCAAACAGTTGTTTAGAGTGAGTTATGGGGTGACTAGTTTGGGCAGTGAGGTATGGGGTGATTTGTTCTCTCTAGACATCTGGGCTCTCCCCTTTTCAGCCTTTGTGATGTGCTGTTATGCTGAGCTGGTCAGACCAAAACTACTGAGTGTCACACAGTTGTTTAGTGGCTGGGAGGCCTGTGAGGTGGAGTTCAGGCTTTTGGACCCTTTTTGTTTGGGTAGGAGGAGAACAAGGGGGCCTGGAGGGTTATGGGAGCTTTCAAAAAAGTTGCAAGAGGAATAACCTGGGAAGCCACTGTCCTAAACCCAACTCAAAACCCTCTTCCCTTTCCAGCCCTCCAACAAGTCTACCCCACTGATTTCCTGCCCTCTTTCCAGCCCCTCTGTGCCTGACAACGCCCAAAGCCTGGTCTGGCTTGCCTTTTGTAGTGACAGAGATGCCCATGGCGGCCTCCCTCAGCACGCTCCTCTTCTTCCACTTGCCCTCATCGATGTTGTACATCTCCACAATCTTCAGGGGCAGCTGATTGGTTCCCACACCCCCAATCACCATGATCCGTTTCCCCAAGGCAATGACAGCCACCCCAGCCCGGGCCGTGGGCATGGGGGGCAAGGAAGTCCACTGGTCAGCCTCAGGGGAGTAGACCTCAAAGCAGTCCATGGGGACCCCATTGTCATCACAGCCTCCTATGGCATAGACCTGTCCTCCAGTCTCCACCAGGGACGAGTAGACCCGACGACTGGGCAGTGGGGCCAGGGTCTTCCAGTGGAAATCTTTGATGCTGGGCACCTCCATGGCAGTCACGGGTGGCACTGTCCGGGCATCCATCCCCTCACCTCTATGGAGTAGTTACCCTGCCACCTCCTGAGAAGCAGCAGGGGCAGCTGCTGCAAGGGCAGGGAATAAGAGATCAGAGGCAAGAGATATGCTGACTGGTCTACAATCAATATCCCTTAGTCGCTTGCAGCATCCATCACTGGCCCGGGCTGCTGCCCATCCCCACGAGCCCCCATGCAGACACTGACACAGACACAGACACAGAGACACACAGACACACACAGAGCAGTCGATTCTTTACCTTTCCTTACGGCTCCATCAATCTCGAGGCATCCACACCTGGCCCTGGTAGGACAATGGAGTAGAATCAAGGGCAGCTGGTTCAGTGAGCCTCCCGAGCAGACTCCCTTTCCCTTTCTCCAACTTTAATTAACAGGGAAAGAAGCTGAGAACGCTACACGGCATGATCACACATCACATTGGGCTCCCCGCCCCCCCCCAGGTTAGATCAGATCTCGCATGGCTGTTGTTTGGGGGAGCAGCTTAAGGGGCAGGTGGGGGTGGGGTGGGATTCACAGAGGTTCTTTCAGCTCGCTGCTCCACCTACACCCTTCTTGAGGAGGAAGGAGTTAAAAATCACTAGAGCCTGTGCTCTTTCTAACCCTCCCTCTGCAGTTCAAGACATTCTCCACTCCCACCATCCCTCCCCCCCCAAACGCCTGCACACACACACACACACACACACACACACACACACTCACACTCACACTCACACACACAGTGTCACTGTTGATCGAGGAGGGAAGCAAAGACAGCCCATTAGAAGACACTGGAAATCACCTGCCCAGCTTACAGACTAAGGGAGAAGGTGATTTGTCTTTTTCCACTCAATATATTGCTGGCAGACATGCAGATGAGCTGAATAAATGAGCAGCCAAGAGGAGAAAGATACACAAAGTGGGAGGGGAGGGAGCCGGCTAAATACACATCCCCACGCACAGCTTCACACCTGTGCAGAAATCGACATGCATCCCCACTGCAAAGTCATCAGCCTCCATTATATAACCCAGGAGGGCTTCACCCATGGGAGGAGAGAAAGGGCTCTTGGCTGGGCACACTGACCCTCATCTACTTGAGTAAGGTAAGGTAAGTCTAAAGGGGAGGATGGAGACGGTTACTTGAGTAGCCAAGGGCAACACCTCCTTGTTATCCAAAGAAAATGTGTGTGGGGGGAGGGAAGGCAGTAGGAAGACGGGTGACCAAATTACCCAATTTGTTTATACAGACACAAAGAATCATTTAATGCTCTTTCCACTTCATTTTGGGTGTTTAGGCAGAGGGAGTGTGGGAGACTTCCTCACTTGCACCCACATATACTCTGATATAATCTACTCCTTAAAATGTACATGCAGACAACCACCCCCACCCACCCACATAGACGAAGTCTCCGCCACACTGAAATAGAAATGTGCTTCCAGAGAATTATACAGACATGTATTGGGGCATATACACAAATACATGGGATTATGATCAAGAGTTAGAAGAGATATCAGAGGTCATCTAGTGCAGAGGTATCAAACACGGGGCCCACAACACTCCAGAGTGGCCAGAACTGGATTAACATGGAATTGGGAAATATTTAACAAAAATAAATAAAAATACAATGCAACATACATAACATTACATTTTAACACTCAGTCAATATGTGGCCCAGGCATCCTTTACGTACAGATCGGCGGTCCCCTTTCCACAGAGCCACCCTGTTGGGAGTCACACAGCCACAAGGTCCCAAACCCCAGTTACAGCCACACACATTCATGGACTTCTCTTCTCCCCAATACCCTGTTAATGGGAAACCTGAGCAGAAGAAGTACAGCAAATGATGCCAGGCTTAGATCATCAGAAAAACCAAAGGGCACATGGCCGCCATTTCCCAGTAGCTTTTCACACACAATAAAACACCATTACAAAGCACCACCAGCTGTGCAAAGGAACCACAAATGTGCCCAACATAAATGCATCACTCGGATTGATTCTTCAGCATCCCCCATGTACACAGGGGTGAGACAGCATCTCTCTCGAAAGAATATAGAAAATTTATAAAGTGGGTGTCATCCTTGTTTTCTGACATCGGCATTTTAAGTTGGCTCTGTACTGAACAGTCAAACCACCAATTTGGAAATGAGTAACAATGAGTAATGAGATAAGTTACAATTCACAGTAGGCCCACAATATGTAAACATGGATCATAAACACAAAAGTCTTTTAATATGTAGGAATTCAGTGTGGGCCCAAGAGTTGAAAGTATTCTTAATTTTTTGAGATCTTGGCATGGAAAAGTTCATTTTTAGATTTCTTCCTCCTCCACATGCTTGTAAAGATAGTAACTGAAAATTTAAATGGGAGGAAATTGCCCCTTGCTCATGCTATTAAATGAGAATTGATAAAAATTTCAAATCACCGGGATCTGAATAAATGAGTTTTCAGGACAAGTTCTCCAATATTATCAGCCTATTCAGGGGTCAGCCTACAGAGAGGCACTAGGATTAAAACCTTCCTCAGCAAGTCAACAAGGACCTGCTATGTGCCAGGTACTGTGCTAAGTACTGGGGATACAAAAAAGGCAAAAACACAGTGCCTAGTGTCAAGGAGCTCACAGTCCAATGGGGGAGTCACGTAACCAACTTTATATAAATAAGAGATGCACAGGGTAAACTGGGGGAATATCAGCAATGGTCTGCCAACGGGGAAAGGCATTTTGCAGATGGTGGGATTTTAGCTGAGATTTTAAGGAAGCCAGGAGGCAGAGGTGAGAAGTGAGGACACAGGAGACAGTCAGTGAAAATGCAGTCAGAGGGTGCAGTGTCATGTACAAGGAACAAGAACACCTGTGTCACTGGATCATAGAGTATGTAGAAGGCAGTAAGGAAACCGGAAGGGACCAGGCTGTGAAGGGCTTTAAATGCCTAAAGCAATGTCAGCCTTGTGCTTTAGAAGATTAGCTTGGCAGCTGAATGGAGGACATTGGCATAGGGGAGACACTTGGACAGACCAATGGGCATTCTATTCCAGTAGTCCAGATGTGAGGTGTGAGTGCCTGCAGCAGGGTGTTGGCAGTATCAGAGGACAGAAGAGGGGATATACTAGAGATATTGAGAATGTGAGAACAACAGGACTTTGGCAAATAATGGATATGGGTGATGAGACACGGTGAGGCCTCCAAGATGACATCTAGGGGCAGCTAGGTGGTGCACTGGATAGAGCACCGGCCCTGAAGTCAGGAGGACCTGAGCTCAAATCTGGCCTCAGACCAAACACTTGACACTTACTAAGTGTGTGACCCTGGGCAAGTCACTTAACCCCAACTGCCTTAAAAAAAAAAAAAAGATGACATCTAGGTTGTAAGCCTAGGTTCCTAGATAAATGGTCATGCTCTTTACAGTGATAGGGAAGGATATCTTTACAGTGATAGGGAAGTTCAGAAGAGAATAGGTTTTGGGGAAAAATAATGTGTTTAGTTTTAGCCTACTGAGTTTAAGATGCTGGGGATAGCTAGGTGACACAGTGGATAGAGCACTGGCCCTGGAGTCAGGAGGACCTGAGTTCAAATCTGGCCTCAGACAGTTGCAAGCTGAGCCATGACCCTGGACAAGTCACTTAACCCCAATTGCCTTAAAGAAAGATGTTTATAGGGCATTCAGTTTGTGATGTCTAATAGGCAGTAAGAGATGTGAGATTGGAGGTCAGGAGTAAGATTAGAGCTGGATAAATAGATCTGAGAATTATGTACATAGAGATAATAATTGAATCCATAAGAACAGATGAGATCACCAAGTGAAATAGTATAGAGGAAAAAGAGAAGACGGCCCAGGACAGAGCCTCGAGGGACACCCAAGGTTAGCAGTTCTTACCTAGATGAAGATGTACCAAAGGAGATGAAGGAGTGGTCATACAATTGGGAGGAGAACTAGGAGATAATAGTGTAATGACAATCCAGAGAGAAGAGAATATCAAGGAGATGAGAGCGATTAAGTGTCAAAGGCTGTCAATGGGACAAGAAGGATGAAGATTGAGACGAGGACATTAGATTTGGCAACTAAGAGATCATTGGTAACTGTGGAAAGAGCAGATTCAGTTGAAAGATGAGGTTAAAGGCCAATCTGCTGAGAGTTTAGGAGAGAGTAAGAGGAAAGGAGGTGAAGGCACACCTTTGTCTAGTTCCTGATTATACAGACAAGTTGGGGATTGGAAGAGCAGGCAGGAGTGAAACCATTCCAAATCTTGTGCACATTCATCTCATCCTACTCCCCTCTCATTCCACTTTCTGCCATAGCTGGCAAACAAGAAGTAATCTGGGCTGGTGTAAATCAGTTTCCCTTTCTGCTCCCCTTCTGCTCTGGGAAAGTTTTTAATGAACAGGGAAATAGCTAAAAGGCAATAGATCAGGCAACTGATGAACTGAGTTAAATGAAACTTAAATGAAACTGCTCATCTCCACTATCATTGAGCACACATTGCCACTATTGATTTCTGGGTGACTTATTTGTCAGACTGTTCCATAGGAACCCCCATTGCCGAAGATGGCGCTTATCCCCTTGCTAAACTGTGATCTGTGTGGTTGAAACTGAGGTGCACAGTTGGCTCTAAATTATCCACACTGATCTCCAGACACTTAACACAGCCTAATCCTCAGGCTATTATTTCTTAATCCTACACTGTACTATATAGAACCATATTTGGAAAGGACCTCAGCAGTCTAGTACAAGCTGTACCTGAATAGGAATCTTTTCCACTATATCCCCAACAAGTATCCATCCAGCCTCTGCTCAAAGACCTCTAGTGATAGAGAACTCACCACCTCCTGAGGCAGTCCACTTTTGAATGGTTGTAATTGTTATGATTTGGAAAAGTACATAAAATGCAGACTCTCTGTAAGGCCATATCATAGTGATTTAATATAATAGCATTTATATAGCACTTTCAGGTTTGCAAAAGACTGTATAGATATCTCATTTTATCCTCAAAACAACCTTCAGGGGTAGGTGCTATTGTGATCCCCATTTTATAGGCAAAGAAACTGAGGCAGACAGAAGTTAAGTGACTTTCAGGAGAGTCCCACAGCTGCTAAGTGTATTAGGCTGGATTTGAACTCAGGCCTTTGTGATTTCAGGTTCAGTGTTCTATCTGCTAAGCCACACCACTGCCCAATTGCTGAAAGAGCTGCTTCTTTCTCCCTGCCTCATCCAATATGGTCCCTCTATTGAAAGTGCTTAAAACCTAGCAACAGTTACTCACAATTATTTCAATCCCTTGGGGCGTCACTGCCCAACCTGATTGTACTGAGCTGGTTGTCTGCTGGAGTGCCAAGTGGGAAAAGAGTTTGCTACTGCCCTCAGTCTCTCAATCCAGGGTTCAACCAGCTCCCCAGCCAAAACGTTTCTCTTCATGTCTAACCTAAGTTCCTCCTGCTAGAAAATGTGCTCAAAGGTATCAGGCCTTCATTTACTTTTCTCATTCAAAGGCACCGTCTCACTTTCCTCCATAGAGATGAGGCTATGGGTGCTTGTGAGAGGCCCTGAAGATAAATGGATTTTGATACTGTGGAATCTTATTATTATAATATTGATGCATTATTCACACAACTTGTCCCTCTTTCACTTCCAGTCTTGAAGGGATTATAGCATTGAAAGCTAGAAAGAATCATTTAGCCCACAAGCCCCAAATGGTTAAGTGACTTACCCGTAGTCTCACAGGTAGTAAATAGCAGGTTTGGCATGTAAACCCAGCCCTGACTATAAAGCAAATGTTTCTTCTGCAGTCAAATGTTGGAGAAACATTCCTACCATCCCACCCTGTCAATCAGTATTCAGTACCTACTACATGCTCAGCACTGTGCTTGATTCTATAAAATGGGCAGCTAGGTGGCACAGTAGACAGAGTACCTGGAGTCAGGAAGACTTGAGTTCAAATCTGGCCTCAGACACTTATTAGCTGCATGACCCTAGGCAAGTCACTTAACTCTGTTTGCGTTGGTTTCCTCATCTGTAAAATAATCCGGAGAAGGAAATGGCAAACTACTTCAGTATCTTTGCTAAGAAAACCCCAAATGGGGTCATGAAGAATCAGACACAACTGAAACGACCAAACTCTACTAGATAGTACGCTTTGGAGAAACTCAGGGAGCAACCTGGAGGGACAGGCAGACAATCTCATACCTATCAGACTAAGCACATTCTCATGATCTCAGGGCCATTGGAGGTGAGGGGGGAGGTATCAAGGGCAGAGCTTCAAGGGTTTGGTGATAGCTTACACCATGTCGCATGAGAGTGAGCAGGGAGAAGACAGAGCTCAAGATTAGCTGTTGCTGTCTCTCCTTTCTTCCCTTCTTCCTAGAAAAAGCAGTAGAGTCTTGGGCAAATGACAAAACACTCAGTAGACCAGGGCCACCTGCCCCAGAGACTGGACTGAGCTGACAAATTCCAAATCTCAGTGCACTCTCAGAAGGCAGGGGCTGTGTTTCTAGGTAGTTCTCTGTGTATTAAGTGTCTGTTACAATGCCATGTATAATTAATCAGATGTTTAATAAAGACCTTTCAAAAGCAATGATTACTTAAAGCCCAGAATATCAGCATTATCAAAAAAGAAAATCCCACTGTAGGGAGCTAATGCTACAAATTGGCTAGTCCTTAATGGAGCCAGACAGATGCTTTTATCTTTTTCTTACATACATCCCTCCAGAGCAGGGAGTTTTCTACCTTCCTTCCTCAGTTACCTATTCCAGAGTCTCACACCTCTCCTAATATCAGGAAGCCTTTCCTCTTATCCGAGTTCAATCCCACAGGGTCCACCAAAGTTGATTTTCTTAGTCTGATCTCCGGTTGCTTCTCTTCCTTTGAATATAGCCTTCTTTATTATGAGAAGAGAAGAGCAGTATGGTGTAGTGGGCAGAGACCTGATTTCAGAATCAGGATAGACCTGGGTTTAAGTCCCATCTCTGACACACACTGGCTGTGTGACTTTGAGCAAGTCACTTAACTGCTCGGCGCCCCAGTCAATTTTCATCTATCAATTGCAGGGCAGGTGCTGACCTAAAGGTAACTAGGTGGAGGAGCGGACAGAGTGCTGGGTCTGAAGTCAGAAAGACTCAAATTCAAATTCGGCCTCAGATACACACTAGCTGTGTGTACCTGGCTGCTTTCCTGGCTTCGTGATCATCAGAAACTCATCATTCTGCAACATTAAGTCAACTCTGAAACTCACTTCCTCAGACCAATTCCAGCATCAAATGTAGGACTTCATAATGAAGTCCCCCCCCCAAGCTGGGTACCTTCCCTCCTTCCCCCTTCAGCTTCTTTTAATGTGTTTTCTTCCCCCATTAGACTGTGAGTTCCTGGAGGGCCAGGACTGCCTTGTGCCTTTCTTTGTATCCCTAGTGCTTAGCACGGTGCCTGGCATGTAGAAGGTGCTTAATATTTCATTGTCTCTGAATATATTAGATGGAGAGGGGAGCTGGGGAAAAAGAGACACGACATATAAACAGCCTTAGAAGCCGCCATATTCCTGATCCTGGATGTGCTACCCAGTCTTCACTGGTCTTTTCAACCCATCAACAGATGGGTCCTTCCCCATCTTTGAAAAGTGCAAACAGTATGGGTTTTCCCCAGGCCATATCTGAATGACTGTGTTCTGGGTTCACTGGATGCTGATCCTTAGCCCCTATTTCACCCCTATTTCATGGTAGAAGAGAAGGAGGGGCCAGGAGCTGATGAGGCTATGAAGAGCCATTCAGAGACCAAGGGGCAGCATGTGGGAGTGCGCAGAATCCCATTCAAATCAGGCTCTTTAAATGCCAGTTAATAAGTTAATACCACTGTCCCCAGAGTCAGCAACTCCTTCCATCCTTCTTAATTAAAAAGAACTCCGTGTCACCATGGAATTGAGAGAGGGCTGTGAATGATTTACAAACCAGTCGGGCTCCCCCTCCTCAGGGGAACACAGAGAGGAGATGCATCAGCAGACACAGCATTCTGCCTGTCACTAATGAGGGCCAGGGTAGCAATGTGGCAGCCGGGGAAGCAGCCACTTCTGCAGTCTCGCCTGGTGGGCTCAGACAAAGCAGGGGCATCTGGCAGCAAAGGGCAGGAGAGCAAAATTGGATATGAGGGTCGTTTACAAACAAAAGGCTCCTTTGTTTGCCCTGTCTCCTTCCCTTTTTTCCTTCTATCTAACCTAGGAGAGAGAAGAGAGCATAAGGCCTGTGTTCTCTATATCCATCAGAGGCATGCAGCCATAACCACTTCTTCCAGAGAAGAGGGGGTGGTGGTGTTTGGGGAAATTAGATCATCGATCTAGAAGGGGCCTCGGAAAATGTCTAGTCCAGCCTCGTTTCACAGATGAGGAAAATGAGGGGCAGTGGGGTTGTGACTTGACCAAGGGCCCCCACTTCTTATAGATACCTTCTTCACCTCGGCCATCACAGCCCTACTCTCTCTTCCCAGATGTCTCCAGACAAAATGTATGAAAAACACTTGATACGCCATAGGCCTGTACCTATAGCCCTTCACAGAGCTAAGGATAAGCCCTTCCCCAAGCCGGCAGTAAGGGAAGATGAGGATGCAGAGTTTGGGTTATTGTGAGGGAATGATGACTCCTTTTCACCACCTCCTCCTCCTCATCTTTCTCTTACCTAATCCAGCTTCCATTCCATTTGGGGTCCTGGGAACAGACCTCCAGATTGAAGAGGGTGAGATGGCTGGTGCCAGAAAAACCCCACCCCTGTTTGACAGGACCCACTCCTGCTCACCTCTTCTTTCTCACCCATGATTCAGGTATCCAGTTCTGAGAGCAGGTCTCCTTCTCTCCCCTGATGTCAGTGCTCACCTTCAAGAGCCCATAGGCTTCTCTGAGTCACAAAAGGGGCAGGTCCAGCTCAATGTCCCAGCAGAAAAAGGCTGAAACTTACCATGACCCCCGGAGACACGTGATGTTTTCCAGGAAGCTTCTGTTCTAGCTTTCGCCCTTTACTTCTAGTTTTATCACACACAAACACACATATGCATATACAAGCCCTACTTCTCCCCAGAGGTTTAGCAAAAAATAACCAGGAGGAGACAGGCTGAGGCAGTGGGACTGGGGGCTGGAATTTGTAAATCGTCCAATCCCTGCCTTAATCTTTGCCTCCCTCTGGGAGAGTAGAGACAATCAGCTTCGTCTGGGTCTCAGTCTGATGTGATCTGTATTCTCTGCTGCAGTGTCCAGAAAGAGGTGGGGGATCTGGGTGTGTACAAGTCTGTGAGTGTCTGCATATAGGGACCAGATGAAAGAAGCCCTAGGAAACATTTGGAAATCCTGTGTTAATGCCATGGGCAGTGGCCCATTAGGGATCCTCTGAATTCAGCAGAAATTCAACAGGATTTTGGAATGATTGTGGAGAGACAAAGGAGAAAAGCAATTCAGAAAACTCTCTGCTTGCTAGGCCTATGGCCTCAAAAGAGTGTCCTTTTCCACTAGCCCATCTTCTTTCTTTTTTAAAAAAAATTTATTCTTATCGTTTATTTAAAATATTTTTTGAGTTCCAAATTCTTTCCCTCCTACCCCTCACTCACCCATTGTGAAGGCAAGAAATGTGATATCAATTATACATGTGAAATCATGCAAAACCTATTTCCATATTAGCCTTGTTGCAAAAAAAAAAAACCAGCAAGAAAAATAAAGTGAAAAAATTCCCATCTTCTTCCAAAAAACTAAGGAAGGAAGAGATTGACCAGGCTTAGGGCAGATCTCAGACTCCACCTATCAGGTCCTATAGGTACCGCCTCAGAGGACAACAGATGCATGTGTCTGACTTGCCTTTCCCCTTCCATTTTTTCCATTCAAATAGGAGGCAAGCAGCAGCGGCTTGAGTCCCTGAACACTTCAGTCTGGTACCAGCGGAATGGGCCATGTTTGATTTGCCCCCAGGAAAATCAGCTTTCCCCCTGCACATCACCAGGCAAGAAATGAGAGCTCTGTTTCTTATTCCCTCCACAGGCAGTGGCTTCACCTTAGGTAACTACAGCTGCATCCAGGGGTTTTCTTTGTCTTGCAGCTGTTGCTCTGTACGTGTCTAGAAATGACACTTGCCAGCGTCACGTGACATTCTTCTTCCCTTCTGTACTTGGCACACCTACTAAAATTAGGTCTTGCTCCCAGCCCCCAATGATTTCACCCACTTAGCAGAACTTCCCCAAATCAATGGGTGAGTGCTGCCCATGTTTGTTCCTCTCCTCACACTGTAGGGCACTTTTCAGGTTAAAAGAGACACCTTCTACCAAATTATAGGGTTTGGGACAGCTAGAAGAAACAGGATGCTATCTAAAGGACCCAAGGAACCCAGCAGTGCTGGTATCTTGGTAGAGTGGAAAGAGTATTCATTTTATTTGTCGCCAAAAGATGGTTTTCAATCAGAATTTTACCAGTTATTGTGACTTTGTGACAAATAATTTCACCTTTCTGGGACTCATTTTTTCATCTGTAAAATGAGGAGTTTGGCTTAGATGAGCTCTAATGTCCTTTCTGGCACTAGATCCTATAATGCTTTGAGTCAACAAATCATGAAGCATTTATTTAGCACCTATTATGTGTCAAGTCTCTGAAGTCCTAAACAAATAATAACTAGACTGATCACCCCTATTGTATGGCTAGGGAAATGAAGGCCTAGATTATAGTACATGTCAGAGGTCTAGTTACCTGGGACTCAAACCTTCTTTAGTTTCACAAATTTCTCCACAGCCTCCAATCAGAACCTTCCTTCTCCCTTAAAGCCTAAGAGAATCCAGGTGAGAATGAGTACGGAGAAGGGGAGCACATGAATTAGGAAAACTTGACAGCAAAGCAAATTTCCTTCTTTCCCTCCCTACAACCCCCTTCTTCATCCCTTGCTGTCTATTTTCATTTTCTATTAGCTTTCCTTTGGGAAGACTCAATTTGCATTTAAATAGAAAAATCTTCAGAATGGCTCCAATATAATGTTAAGGTGTTAATTACAAATTCATTCCTCTTTAAAAATTAAGACCCTTCAGTTCATCTTGGTGGTAAGGGAGAGGCAGTAGGAATGGCTTAGTATTTATAAGTTATTATTATTTAACATGGTTTACTGCAAGTCCTTACGGCAGAGGGCAGAAGTGAGGTGTTTTCATGAGAATGAAAGGTTTAGGAGCAGGTGACTGACTTAGAAGGCCCAGTGGTTGGTTATACACTTCTCAGAGATACAGGGATGTCATTAGGATCACAATAATAGGACTAGTGTTATTGCTAAAGTGCAGAATAATCAGAAATTGTTAAAGAAAACTCATGACAACAAAAAAGTGTGTTTTTTTTTAAAAAAAGTTATATTGGGGGGAAAGAGTATAAAAGAAGAGATAGAATCACTGGTTGGGGTGGATGGGATAATGATAACGGATGATGAAGGGGAAGCAAAGCTGCCGGACTCTTATTTTATCTTTCTCTGTAACGGAGAATGATCTTTACTAGAAAAGACAGAACAAAAATATTAACAGGGAGTTGATACCCAATGTAACAAGAGAAATGAGCTTGCCCTTTAAGAATTCAAGTCAGCTAGCTCAGATGAACTAGGTCCTGAAAGAATTGGCAGATGGCAGCTCCTGAGCCACAAAGATTTCTGAGTGATCTTTAAAAGAACATGGAAAACAGAAGTGCTACAGGATTGGAAGGGCAAATATTATTCAGATTTTTTTAAAAGGGAAGACAGTCAACTCTGCAGATTGTATGGCAGTGAGCTTGACTTCAGTTCTTAGCAAAATATTAGGACATTGTCAAAGAAATGCCCAGGGAACATCCAGAAAAGGAAATGGTGGTCACAAGGAGCCATCAGGGCTTCATGAAGACCAGGTTGTGCTTAGCTTGTCCTTTTTTGATAGAATTCCTAAACTGGTAGGTCATGGGAATGCTATGGAAATCATTTACTTAAATTTTAGCAAAGTATTTGACAAAATCATCTATGTTCTTCATGTGGAAAATATAGAGAGATATGGAGTAGATGACAGTAGAATTAGATGTACTCAGAACAGGTTGAACGGCTGGACCCAAAGAATAGTTAACTGTTCCCCGTCAACTTGTGGAATGCTCCAGGGATCTATCAGTGCTTGGCCCTGAGCTGTTTACAATTTTTACTGATTACTTGGCTAAGGCACAAGTGGCATGCATATCCAATTTGCAAATGACACTAAACTGAGATATTTCCAAATATCAAATTTCCAAATATCAAACTGATATATTTCCAAAGGGTTTGGATTTGGAAATATTTTGAGAAGATAAGACTACTGAGGCAATCCTAATAAAATACAATTTAATATTTAATAGGGATAAATAGAAAATCTTCCTCTGGGTTCAAAAACTCAAGTTCACAAGTATAAGACCAAGGAAGCAGTTGGAGTAATCTGAAAAATATACGAGGTGTTTTAAAGGACCAAAAACTCAATGTGAGTGAAAGGGGTGATGTGGCAGTTAAGAACGCTGATGTGATGTCAGGCTGTATTAAGAGAGGCATAGTTTCCAGAATAAAGAGACAAGCATTCCATTATATTGTGCACAATCAGATCACATCTGGGTACTATATATTATGTTGCTCTAAGTACGACATTTTAGGACAAGCACCACTTTCTATGTGAAGTCTTTCTTGATCCCAACTGCTAATAATGCCTTCCCTCTGAAGATACATTGGTACTACTATGTATTTATTCTCCTTTTATTTTTGTCTATACGTACCTGTATATGTACTTGTGAGAATGTGTTTCCTATTCATTGAATTTGTATCCCCAGTTTCTAGAAGAGTGCCTGACGCACAGTAAGGGCTTAATAAATGCTGTTAATTGATCAACATCGATAATATCCAAGATTGGATATTATCAAACTCAAAATTGTATATAAAAAAGAATGTTAAAAATTGTCTTTACATGTAATTGGAAAAAATAAAATACTATTTAAAAGGGGAAAAAAGAATATTCCAAGAAGGGCAGCCCGTTCAGTGAAGTAAGTCCATTGTCCATATGAAAACTGAAGGAACTGGAGACACTGAGCCTGGAAAAAAATCAGATCAAGGGAGGACATATTAACTGTCTTCAAATATTTGAAGGGCTGTCATGTGGAAAAATGAGGACTTCCTGGTCCTGTTTGGCCCCAGAATTTAGAACTTGGAACAGTGGGTGGGACATTCAAAGAGACAGATTTAGAATTGATATAAGAAAAGCTTCTTAACAATTAGACTGTCCAAATGACTTTGGAAGAGGGTGGGTTCCCTTGTACTTGAGGTTTTCAGGCAAAAGCATAAAGGGGTTGTTTGAGTTTCTTTTTCAGGTATAGATGGGACTACATGACAACTGAAGTGCCTTCTGACACTGAAATTCCATGATATGTGATTGTGTATTTTATAGATTTAGAACTGGAAGGGAACTTAGAAGTAATCTGGTCCAACCCTCCTGATTTTAAAGATGAGGAAATTGAAATATTAAGTGAATTACTCAAGGTCACTCAGGGAGTCAGGTACAGAGCATGTTTCCTGAAGGCAGCACCTTACTTTAACAGTACCTACCTAGTACAATATTATAACTACAGCTGACTGCCTGAAACTTCTTTAATCTCTATTATAATCATTCAGATGTTTTATATTTTCACGTGATTTAAACTTTTCATTTTCACATCCAATATATAATTATCACAACTTCTTTGAAATAGATATCATCATCTACTTTGTCATGATTATAGAATGACAGAGATAGAAGGGATCTTATGGATTACCCAGAAACCCTCCAGTTTAAAGATAAAGAAACTGAGGCTTGGAGGGATGAAATTACTTATTCAGGGTCACATTTTGCAGGACAGAAAACTGAAACACTAAAAAGGTAAGTGACTTCCTGAGGGTCACTGTTAGTGAAAGAGAAAAAAAACCAGAAGGAACTAGAATTCCTGTCTCCTTATC